TTCCATTCCCTTAATCATCCTGGTTGCCCTTCTCTGGACCCTCTCAAGAAGCTCCATGTCCCTCCTATACTGGGGAGCCCAGAACTGAACACAGTACTCCAGGTGCGGCCTCACCAGAGCTGGGTAGAGGGGCAGAATCACCTCCCTTGACCTGCTGGCAACACTCCTCCTGATGCAGGCCAGGATCCCATTGGCCTTCTTGGCCACGAGGGCACACTGCTCACTCATGGTTAACTTAGTGTCAACCAGGACTCCCAGGTCCCTCTCCATGTAGGTGCTTTCCAGCAGGTCGACCCCTAATCTGTACTGGTGCCTGGGGTTATCCCTCCCCAGGTGCAGGACCCTGCACTTATCCTTATTGAACCTCATGAGGTTCCTCATCCTATTCTTTGCCCTCTAGCTTGGCTAGGTCTATGGGAAGAAGAAGAGTCAGGAAAAAGGAAGAAAGGAAGGCCAGAGCACCAGCAGTGGATGTGGTAATGAAATAGGGAGGCAGAGAGCAGATTTACATGGTCATCCCTACCACAAGGCGATATTTAGAGGAATATCTCTTTGGGGAATATATATAACAGAAGTATTTATGGATGGACTAGCTAGACTGGCTAACTTCTTATCTCTACTCTCTAAGGGGTGGCATGCTCCTGTATAGATGCCTTTCAACCCCTAAAGGGATGAGTCCTACAAAAAATCAAACTGAAATTAGCTGCAGTCCCAGAAAATCTTCCTGGAGTCATCACTCTTTATTTGTCACCTGACCTTCATCATAACAAACTGTTCATCACTGTACTTCAATGGCAGTTAGAGATTTAACATAGCTAGCAGACAAGTCATATCTGCTTTGCCTGGGGCTATGGGGCATGCCTGATGATAGCATGCCTGATGATAGCATGACATGCTATCCCAACCTAGCATCCAAGAAAGAAGTATTTTAATGATGAAGGTAGAAGAAAAGACCTCTTGATCCCCAACCAAGTCCTGCCTGTCTTCTCTTCCAGTCCCCAGTGGACACAGCTCATCATGCAGTAAGGGGTAAATATTGCATATGCCTTCAGGTCTTGTGCAATCCGCTGATTAGTTCACTGGAAATTGTGTAATTTGTTAGGTAATGCAAGGCCCAAGCTTCACCTGTGGTGCTGAGCTAACAAGACTTCATCTGCTTCCTAGAAGGCTAGAAGTGCCTCTGCACTAGGATGAAGAGCAAACGCAATCATTTCATAATCACCCAGAGCCTGTTCATTAGAAACACTCTGCTGCTGAGGATCCTCCTTGTGTGATCAGTGTCTCAGCAGACTTTTAGCCACGGGACCATCACCTTGTATAAAAACCTTCACCCCTACTTCAGGACAAAGAGGCCAATTTAAGGAGTGACAGCAAGAAACTATTAGACAACATGCCAGTTTTCAGTGTTGTTAGGCCTGTTGTCTGACATTTGTTTGCCATGTTGTCATGTCAAGTCTGCTCAATGTTGACTCACTGTAGAGACTGCAACACTAGAACACATGGGACTCAGATCAAATGAACCAAGGTTAGCCAAACTGCAAATAGATGATTATTGATTAGATTCCTAAACTTCAGCACTCAGCTCTCCTTACATGCAGAGCAGCTCTCCAGCTGCTCCTCTTCTGATAGGGATTGTAAAGTCTTGAGAGCTTCAGATATAAGGTAGAGTTGAAGAACAAAATGTTATCATAATAAATTAATGTATTTTATTTTTGACTAATGGAAGATCAATTCACTCTGCATGTATTGTACACTCTTCCTTGTCAATTCTCACTCAGGAGACCAGTGAAATGTGCTAACTCTAGATGGATTTCAAAGAGGTGTAAACATGTGGTTTGCTGGCTAATCATGTGCCCATGTGATTTTAAATACATGCTTGTAGTTAGAATGGCAGAATCAAGTCTTACTAATGTCTAAATGCATGTGTACCTTATAGATAACTACTCCCAGAAACATAATGATTCTTATACTACTAAATGTATACAACTTGATGACATATTTTTTAACTATTAATTTGTGCTTAAGAGAAATTATTTGAGTAAAAGTAGCCTGGAGAGTAGTGATGCATGTGATTCTTATTATGAAATTATATTTAGTTAGAGAAAGTCATGCAAGAACAGTAGAAGAAAAGAAAAATGTCTATGTTAAACATCAAAAAAAATCTAAAAACATCAAAACATAAATATCTTTTTATCCATTGTAGGATAACACAACTTCCCAATATTAATTGAGGGAAATAAACGGAGCAGCATTCTGAGATAAAACGCCCTCCATGATCAGTCAAAGATCTCTTTCTGTTGAAACACCGAGTCCTTTTTTTGTACTTAGCCACTGAGTCACAGGTAAGATAGGCTGGCATCCCTTCATGATCACAAAGGCAGAATTAAAGTCATTTGAGTGTCAAGGCTTTATTCTATATTTTTATTTACTAACAACCATTGCACAGTGTTTTTGTCTTGTTTGCACTGCAATATGCTACAGTAAGATTTTAAGTTAAAGCCTCCCAAAAGCTATTGTTGAGAGAGCCTGATTTCCCTAGGCTAGGTGCCTACGTCCCCTTGTGTTCCCAGCTCAAGTCTGGAAGTCAACATTCACCAGAAATCTCTGCAGGAGAGCCTCATTCCTAGCATGGGCTCCCGTGGGGCATTGCTTGACGCAGGCATCGTCCTGTTCCAGCCTGAGGTCACTGCTGTGTTGCACACATGGCTCTATTCTTCAGGCACTTTATGCAGGTTTAGCCTGGTTTTAAGCAACTGGTTTGCACCTGCCTTTGTGACTTTATTTATTTATTTATTTTTTCCTAGGGAACAGAGTCATGGAATTTTCCTATTGCTCTGAAAGAAACTTTCAGGCTACCCATGCTAGTGGCATTCAAAGGATACTCAATTTCCAAGAGTGCTTCTTTCTTTCTGAAAATAATAAGGCAATTGGACAAGATCCTTGGAGGCTACAACAATATGCAGTACGGAAATTCAAGTAACGTGACACTAGCTAGAGATTGATTCTGTTCCATGGATGGAAACCAGCATACAACTCTGAAAGTGAGTGGAGCTGGTTCAAATATTGCACATGGTAGCAAAGAAAAATCTACCTTCTGCATTGTCACATTCCGGGGTTTATTTGTATGTGTGGAGAACTTGACTCATCCTTGCTATAAACTTTTTCAGGGAACACTTAAAAAGCACAATTCTGTCCACAAAATGTCACTACATCTTCTACATTAAGGGACTGGAGCATCTATTTTACGAGGAGAGACTGAGTGAGTTGGACCTGTTTTCTTTGGAGAAGAGAAGGCTGAGAGGGGATCTGATTAACATGGATAAGTACATTAAGGGAGAATGTAGGGAGGAAGGGGACAAGCTCTTCTCAGTGGTGGCCAGTGACAGGACACGGGGCAATGGATATAAGTTGCAACACAGGCAGTTCCATCTCCATGTGAGGAGGAACTTCTTTACTGTGAGGGTGACAGAGCCCTGGAACAGGCTGCCCAGGGAGGTTGTGGAGTCTCCTACTCTGGAGGTCTTCAAAACCCGCCTGGATGCCACCCTGTGCCACATGCTGTAGGTGTCCCTGCTTGAACAGGAAGGTTGGACTAGATGATCTCTAGAGGTCCCTTCCAACCTTGAATATTCTGTGATTCTGTGATTCTGTGATCTTCAGCCTGTCCTCATGAAGAATAGATGGGGGAAAATTCATTTTTCTTTTGATATTTTTCCGTAAAAAAGGGGTTCATTTCCTGATTTCTTCATGTTCATGTTCAGGTCAGATATCTATCTGCTGACAAAATATAATACTTTCTAAGGTAGTGGGACAAAAAAAAAAAAGGATATTTTGGAGGTTTTGGCAGTTCCTGGCAATCAGATCTGATGGTTGGAAGATGGAAATAAGTATGGATCATAGTGTTATTTCCAGTGTAAGCATTTAGGTAACTCACCTTGCTGCTGCTTTCTTTTAGTTACATAATCTTGCCTGTTACCATGCAGATTAAACATAAACATCAGTGAAGTATTCATTCTATTAATAATTCTCAGAATAAAAATACCATTAACTTGCAGTTAAATATGGTAAGTGAGGTAATAAGGAAGCAAATGGCTGAGCCAGAATACCAGAGGAAGGAACTATAGAAATGGGATTAACCTTTTAGTTATGTATGATGGTATCTGTCTAAAGAAAAAAGATTCCTATAGATACAAGAGCTGTTGTAGGGTTTGACATCTACAAGGCCAGAATTTAGTTAAGAAAAACTTCCAGTGTTTTCATCTTTCTGTCATATTATCCAGGAATTCACAGCTCCTATTAACTCCCTCTTCATGTTCACAACTCCTGTTAACTCCTGTAACTCCTTTACAAACTGGAAATAATCTTCCTTTCACCGTAAAAAGAGCAATCACACCTGTAACACCCATGCAACTTAATGAACTCTTACAGATCAGTCCATTCTACTTCTGTTTCATGGAAAAAAAAGAGAGGAAACAAAAGGGGGAGTCATAGATACACTGAAGTCAATTAGACTTTTGGTTATTACTCCAGTTCATAAATCAAGGGCAGCCTTTATCACTCTGTGGCTTACTAAATGCAAGCAAAGCACTCAAAATGGGATATAAGTGAGAATTAAAGATATCCTGAATGATAGGATAGGGAGATGAAGATGTTACATATCTCATAAGTGAACAAAGGATCTGGGGGAGTAGATGCAGATAGTTCCCACCTTCTATTCCCTCTGCCTGACCCATCTCCATGTCTGTGTTGGACATAGGCCTGCAAAAGCCATGAGAGCTCATGCGATGCAGTGAGACCTGGCTGATGGTCAGATTACACAAATGCCTAACCAGGTGGAAATGCATTCTTTTGAACGTTCATTGCCCTTCTCATTGAAGCCTGAGGTATGTGGGATAACAGTCGTCTTTCCAGATGGCTGATTGCGGTTACTGATTGACAGAGCACTCAGACATCAAAAATTCACAGTCCTGCAAGGACTATAAATATCACACACATTCCCCAGCCTCTTCCTCAGAAAAACTTCATCCTGTCCTGCTATCTGATTCTTTTCGAGGGGACACATAGTCCACAGCTGACTAATAGCCATGAGGATCTTCTACATGCTCTTTGCTGTTCTCTTCCTGCTCTTCCAGGTTGCTCCAGGTGAGATGCAACACATTCGGCTTGCATAATTATTCTTTACTGTGTCAGACTGAAAACTGAGGTTTTAACATGCTCTTTTTCTCACAGGTTATGCCGATGAGACTTTTGCTGACACTGCAGAGTGTAAGAGCCAGGGAAATTTCTGCCGTCTTACAACCTGCCCACCCACATTCTCTGTCTCGGGATCATGCCACGGCGGGTTGCTGAAATGCTGTAAGAAGTAAGTGTCACAGGGCACCACGGCATTTTCATGCTGCCATTTTATCTAATTTATATTCTATTTCTCGTATTAGAAAGCAGGGCGTACAGGGTGGCTGTTTATGAGAAAGGCCAGATGGCGGATGAATGTGTACATGATAGAAGTGTGTTTGGGGAGATAACTCACTTTTTTTTTCAGCATGTTTTGTTTTTCTCCTTGACTGGAATATGCTTTTCGAGAATGCTGGAACACGTTCCTCTAGCTTAAGGCAAAATGTATTCCTTGTGCTTTTAACTCTCATGTTAGTTTTATTCTTCTTTTTTTTTTTTTTTTTTTTTTTTTTTTTTGACTATATTCTGATCATCGCTACCTGTAATTTCCAATTCCATGTACTAAATTCATGGGAAATGAGGAGAAGTTTTTCTTTCCATGAAAGGGTTAATCATGATGTTATAATTCACACCGGTAGGAGATATATAGGCAAATGTTCGGACATTTAAGTGACCAGAGAGAGCCCAGCTAAAACTAAAAGTCTTTTGGGTTTTTTTTAAGGTTTTACCAGCCTCTGTATTCTGCTATGTTTAAACCTGATGCAGTAGGTTAGGGGCTTCTAGTAACTGAAAAAAGTGCAATGAGTTGGCTTCAGAGATCAGGTTGCAAAGCACATTACTCAGCCACTGAAACAGCATAGGATTTCCTCAGATTACAGACCAATACAACAGCTGTCGGGCAGAAAAGAAACCCAAATCATACCATTGTCATAAAATTAATAACACGTAGGAAACATCCACTTAGGAACTCTGCAATCCTCATAAAGGGTGCAGAAGCAACCTATACTGTATGATTTTTCAAAGGAATGATTCATTCCCTCTGTCTCTGTGAAAGATCACTCAATTTAGGAAACGCTAATCGTCAGGATTAATATCTCTATTGGACTGCTAGATGTTCAGCTAGATTAATTCACTACAGCTGTAGAAGCTGAAACCAACAGGCTATTCTGAGTACAGGGCTTTAAATTTGCAAGCTGAACTCACCCTGTGTATTTGTTCTGAAAAGTAATTAGCAGATATTGAGGCTTTTATATGAAGATTGTAGACTGCACTTCAGTGAAATTACAACACCCTTTGTGTCCTAACAGGATTGTAGCCAAATAAGAAGATAAGGCGCTCTGGATCAATGCCACTACACCAGCAACATCTCTACTGCCTTGAGGAAGTGCATTTGATGGATTCCTCCTCTATCTAAACCCTTCTGCAAATGAGCTTTGAAAGAAGCTTCCAGAGGGCACATCCTGTTAACACACTGCTTATGGAGATCTACTTTTTCTTTCCTCGCTGAAGTCACTCCTTTTTTATTTTTTTTTTTGCTTTTAATTAATACACAAGCCACTTTGACAGCTTGACCACCTATCCCAGCCTACCTTACAGGGATGTTTGGATTATCAATCAGATCAAGTTCAGGCTGTTCTTGGAGGATGTAGAGCTATCTATAAATGTAGATGCGATATTATTTTATTCATGCACAGAAATAAATGCCTTCTAAAAACAATAACTGTGATCTCTTGTTTTTACTGGACATAATGGCCTTTGGGGTCTACCAGCCTCTTTAAATAAATCAGGCTGTGTTGTTTCACCTACAGAGGAAATAAAAAATCAAAGGAGTCAAATTCACAGATATTGCTTCCTTCCTCCTGTCTTAACTTCCCCATCAGAAGTTTAACAGCACTCTTGTCTTATCAGCCTGAAAAAGGCAAAAGATCTGACTTTTTCCTATTGGTTTGCTATTATCCCATTCAAATAGTGTATAAATTGTACTTGTGCTAGAAAACTTGTAGAAGCCCAAAACTTTTATAGCTGTAGAACTGTTGAATAAGTCTGGATCTCTTTGTTACAGTGACAAGGAGGCCATAGTCTGTGTGAAATTAATATATTGACGAATTTCTTTACACCATTGATTTGTTAGTCATAGTTTAAAAATTATGTTGCAAGAACATCCACAGTGATGAACTTAGTACCTAGCAGAAGTGTCTCTCTATATTCCCTTCCTGAAACCCAGTGATTTACAAACCTCTTCCTTGTTTACAGACTGGAGGACTGGGCGGTGAGAAACCTCATGAGGTTCAACAGGGGCAAGTGCAGGGTCCTGCACTTGGGGAGGAATAACCCTGGACACCAGGACAGATTAGGGGTGGACCTGCTGGAGAGCAGTCCTGCAGAGAGGGACCTGGGTGTCATGGTGGACGACAAGATGACCCTGAGACAGCAGTGTGCCCTGGTGGCCAAGAAGGCCAACAGGATCCTGGGGTGCATTAAGAAAAGCGTCTCCAGCAGGTCGAGGGAGGTGATCGTCCCCCTATACACAGCCCTGGTGAGGCCACATCTGGAGTACTGTGTCCAGTTCTGGGCTCCCCAGGACAAGAGGGATGTGGATCTGCTGGAGAGTCCAGCGCAGGGCTACGAGGATGATCAGGGGCCTGGAACATCTGCCCTATGAGCAAAGGCTGAGAGAGCTGGGTCTGTTCAGCCTGGAGAAGAGGAGGCTGAGGGGGAACCTGATCAGTGTCTATAAATACCTCAAGGGAGGCAGTGAGGAGGAGGGGGCTGGCCTCTTTTCAGTGGTGGACAGTGACAGGACTAGAGGAAATGGCTTCAAACTGAAGCATCAGAAGTTCCACAGGAACTTAAGGAAGCATTTCTTCACTGTGAGGGTGACAAAGCACTGGAACAGGCTGCCCAGAGAGGTTGTGGAGTCTCCTTCTTTGGAGATCTTTAAAACCCGCTTGGATGCAGCCCTGTGCCACGTGCTCTAGGTGACCCTGCGTGTGCAGGGGGGTTGGACTCGATGACCTCTGAGGTCCCTTCCAACCTTCGGCATTCTATGATTCTGTGATTCTATGGTTAACTGAAGAATGGAGTTTACAATACAGTGATGGAATCTGCGAATTTCCACAGATTTGTGTCAGTGACTTCTTCCCCATGGCTGATCTTCTACAGCCTCTTGAAAGACATGAAGAGGAGATACCCCACTGAGACCTGGCTTCATGCCTGAGTGGTCACTGTCAAGTTCTCCATCAAGGGTAACAAATATCCTGTACCTTCAGCCCACTCTGAAAATGTCTGTGCCTCTCGCTGTCATTTTCTCCTTGTCCTTAGTTTTGTGATGGGGAGACTCAACACCACTGTTTAAAACTGCTAAAATGTCTATTTGATCAAGTCCAAAAAAAAAAATGTCAATTTGGTCAAATCCAAAACTAACTGCCCTATCTGCTCTTTCACTACTGGATCAAATATTAACTCTAATACACACCAGCTCCCCATCAGCAACATCTGTGTTGCTTTTTCCAAGTTACTGTTTGCCAAAGTCTCCTCTTTTCTCTGAAAGTAAGAAGTGACACATCTCCCCAGTCTCCCTTTTCCAAGTTTTGGGGAGACTTGGCAAAGGGTTGCTATTGCCATAGGGCAGGGATTCACTTTTCTGAGTCAGACAGGCTTACGACAAGCTTTGCTGCTGCTATCCAAACAGGATGGAGATGTTGTCCCTTCCCTGTCCCAGCGTGTTTAGTTACAAAGAGCATGGATCTGCATGTGACACCAAACCTGGATCCTGGCAGGGTTTACTCAGCAAACTAGCCCTAAAATAGCTCCTCCCAGACAAACACTCCTGCCCCTCATGCTGCCTAAAAGAGGCAAGAGGAGGGTTTTGAAAGGAAGAGATTAGTACTTTTATCTTCTCCATTAGACCCTACTATTTTTTTTTTTTTTGCAAATTATATGGCATTTGGCTTTACCTTTTTATGACTAGCCATATTTGGCTAGTCATATTTCATGATCACAGGTTCCCTGTGGATTTCCTCCCCTTTCCACTTCGTGACCAGGTAAGATCTGAAGCTGGAGGTATATGTGGAGGTGAGGGCTGTGTGAAACATCAAGCAGAGCATTCGAGGGTTGTGACTATGGCCTGGCTCACAGATCAGTTAGCAGCTTAACATTTCCAATAGGTCACTCAAAAGATATTGTCAACATCCAAACATAAATGAAAAAAAAGTTTTATCATAAAATATTGACTCTCCCAAATCATCTTTTTCCACATGCTTAGGAGGAACTGTACTTAGAAGTATCTTCATTTACATGGAATCTTCTCCATGAACGCAAAAATTTGGAAAGAGTTTCAAACCACCAGTAGGGCACAGGATTTGAGTGCTAGTAGCAGCAGTGGGGTGCACAAAAGCTTTCACGATAGTCCTTAGTTACTAAAAGGGAATTACAGAATCACAGAATCACAGAATATTCAAGGTTGGAAGGGACCTCTAGAGATCATCTAGTCCAACCTTCCTGCTCAAGCAGGCACACCTACAGCATGTGGCACAGGGTGGCATCCAGGCGGGTTTTGAAGACCTCCAGAGAAGGAGAATCTACAACCTCCCTGGGCAGCCAGTTCCAGGGCTCTG